CCGGGCCTCGGCGGCTCCTCGGGAGGGGGACGCCGGGTGTTAGGAGCCTGCCCTGCTGCCGACACGGATCTTCCCGGGGCCGAGTCTCCTTTCCGCCTTTCCCTTCATTTTGGCTGGCTGGCGGCCTGGGGCTGCTGGTCGGTGAGGGCCGGGGCAGGTGAGTGCTCGATGCCGCCAGCTCTTGGCTGGCCTGGGCCCCTCCGCCGCCGGGCGCCCCATAGGAGCGGTGACCGCTGTCGCGAAGCCGCGCCGCCGCGCTGGCGCTGGTCCTTGGGGCTGGGGCGCCGCTCCCGGGGTTTCTTGGCCGCCTGGACCAGCCATGGCTTGGAGGGGCGGAGCGGCGCGAAGGCGGAGGGATCGCACTAGGGCTGGGCGCCGGACAGCTTCGGCCTACAAAGCTGGGCGGCGAAGGGACCCCAGTGCTGCTGGAGAAGGGTGGGCAGCGGCAGCGCCTCGCGTGGGAGCGTTGGCTCCTCTGAATCATCTGACCGTTTCTCATCACAATATCTCAGGCTTGATTTGTGAAATATTATTTGTTGTGGAGCTGCTCCCGCCCTCCCCCTAGCTTAGTAGCTCGCGTCTTCAGTGCTGTGATATCCTTCCTGCTGATTTTTTCAGTTCCACTGGTCACTGGCCAGCGAGGCGAGTGTTGTGTTCTGAAGTAGGTGGGATGCGTTGTATAAGAGAATTTTGGCAACTAATGTCAGGCAAGCTTTTCCAGTTTTTCTAAGTGGCAATTAGTGAAGTTTCTCATACTTCACGAATACATACAAACTTTTTTTTTTCTCAAAAAAGATAATACGTACAGAGTGATTTTTATCTAGTGAATGTGGGAGAAGGTAGCATGGAAAAAGTACATTTACATTTGGAAATTAAGTATTTCCTTTTTTTGTATTTCTTTTTTCCCCTCCTTTTTTTGTATTTGCCTTATTTTGGTATCTTTAAAAGTATCTTTGCAAATAGTACTCACATGCATTTAACAATGTTTTAATATTAAATATTTAGTCATATGTGTGGTAAAAATGGAATATAGTATGTGGACTTGCTCTAAAAGTGCTGCTGCTGAAGACCCACTTGCAAATGTACAGACATTACGGAATCAGCTGAGGAGAACTGAAAGAAACCTACAGGCTGTAGAGGAAGAGCTTTCCAGGTATGAGTGTGTTTGGGAATGAGAACAGGCTGTCTTGCAGTGTAAATCTGTCTTATTCAGTGTAATGGATTATTGCAAGTAGCTCCTTTTGTGCTTTTGCTACTCTTTGTGAGCAATTTAAAAATAAACATGAAAAAATGGTATACCAACTTTTTACTCTCCCTCCTAGCACTAATACAAGTGAACATTATGGCCATTGCTTTGATGAGGCTGTAGACTTCACTCTGGAGGACTTTGTTCAGCCTAATTGCAACTATCAAGGCTTTTCCAATTGTAAGAAGAATGCTAGTAAAACGTCTTGCCAGGATTTTCACAGAAAATCCAAAGTAAATATTGCACTCATTTTCTTTTTTTTTACTGTGGTTTTCTGTGCTTTGCTATATTTATAAATATGTTTTTGCTTTTAGGGCTTGGATTTGATATGCTCTAGCATTGGGCAGTTATATCAATGGAGCACTCTTACATGTTTTAAATACATTTCTACAATTTTTAAATACATTCTACAATTTGTAGAATTTCCACTGATGTATATATTGCTCACATATGCATATATGTGTTACATATATATGTGTGTTTATATATATAAAAACCTTTTTTTATGTCTAGTCTTACTCAGTATCCACAACTTCTGATAAAACTGTGGAAGAAAATGAATGTCTTAAGGAGAAGCTGGGTGCCCTTCATGAGCAAAATGCATCTTTGACTTCTCAGAACCACTACCTAAAGAACAGAGTGGAAACAATGAGCTTTGAATTGATGCAGTCAAAAAACAGAGTATGTATCTTTAGTGTGTTCATCAAAAAGTAAAACAAACTCCAAACCCAAAAAACCACCCCAGTCACCATGACATTTGAGTCTTATTCGAAGCAGAACATAATATTTTTTTGTATTGTCTTGATCTATCTACATTTAATATTTAAAGTTTAATATTTTATTTTTTTCATACTATTTGGCATTAATCTTGGAACAGAATAGTTTGGAATCTATATGAGCAAAACAAGTATATTAATTACGGATTCTATCTGTTCATGTTCCAAAGTTTAATCTAAAGCCAGTAAGTCACAGAATGAGGAATACATTATGTAAGAAAACAGTTCAATAATGTATTTAGTACCATATGTTCACATGTCTGAGCTACATGAAGCTTTATGTGAATAAAAGTGGCACAGTAGTAATTTATCTAGGAAAATATAAATGTTGACCTTTTAGGTTGGGTTAATATTGCTAGTTTGAAAAGTGAAGGTGAGTTAGAATTAAATACTATATCTAATAAATCTTACTGATTTAATATACACTTGTATGTACAGGTTTTTTTCAGGGTAACTACATTCTTGTGTTTGGTTTATGTGTAACATTAATAAAACATAGCTATGCTTAATGCTTTTTGTTTGAGAAATGTTATCTCCAAGACAGTGCAAGTAAGGAGATAAACAATATGTTTAACTGTCTAGCATGGAAAGAACAAATAGCGGAATATAAACTTTTGGGGAAAAGCAGGGGACAAGATCAACATATAAAGAAATCACTGTGCTAGACAGCATATCACACTGGAATGGTGTTAGGGAACTGAAAGGGTGTTAAATGAGCAGAAAATTGGAGATTGGGTTGTGTAGATACACAAGCATCTTCCACAGTGAAGTTAAGAGCACTGTGTCATTTGCTAGGCAGATTGTTCTTATGCTTGTCACCTGAAGGTATATGTGCAAGTGTTAATGAAACCCCAAATGTGTTTGCATTTCAGATTTCTTATCTTGAATCGATTATAGGTACACGTTTAGTAAGTATTCCAAAGTTGAAAGAACAGATTGTAAACTTGGAAGCAGAAGTTTCAGCTCAAGATAAAATTCTGAGGTAGTAAGTGTACTTTTAAATAAATATTGTATTGCTAGCTGCTTGCTAATCCAGTCTCTTTTGGGATTACATAATTATTGGTACTGTGTGGGTCAGGTAATTTGGGGCTTGCAACTTTCATTTTGGAGCCGTATATAGGAGGTGGGAGGTTTGTTTTATTTTGTGCTGCATGTACTTCAAGAAATGGAGAAAAAAGGTAAAAGAAACTAGTTTATAATGTACGCTAAACATGAATGTGCCCTTATAACTGACTGAAGTGACTGTATGCTACATGACTCTATATATTCTGTAGTGAATAAGCATACACATTTTTCAAACGTGATTCTGCAGCATATAGCATAAAGGATTCTTTGTTAATATATTAAGGCAAATGGCCAAAGAAAGCTAATGTAAACAGTGTCCAGATGCTGTCAGGAAGACATGCCTGGCTGTCAGTTTATCTTACAACCTCATGCACTATAATATTTAATTAATATCTCAATAGTGTGTCTTCACAAAAGAAGTAAAATATTAAATTTATTTGCTATTTTAGTGTTGTTTCTTACATGTGTATCCTGACCAGTCACACCTATTGCCAGAAAAATGGTGATTTCTATGTTGAGATCTGATGACACCAAGGCAGCCACCTGGGTCCTTGTCAGTTGTGACATCAGATGCCTATTGATGAGGTTTGGACACCAGGCTTCAAACATACTCCTGGAGGGTCTGGGAACTGTGGGTGTTCCAAATGTAATTTTGAAAGTTGCAGTGTTTGTCTAGTGCTTCTGAAACATCAGGTGCAGAAAAGAACGACAGAAATCTACTTTCTTTACAAAAAGGTTCTTAATTTTTAATTATGGTTTGCTTATTTGATAGAGATGCAGAAGATAAACTAGATCAAAGCCAGAAAACCGGAATGCAAAGAGCAAACATGTTGCAACGATATAAAAAGGACTATAAAAATCTGAAAACTGAGTTAACTGAACTAAGCAAGCAAGGAAAGAGGTAGATAAGTAATTTTAATAAATTGAATGCAGAATAATAGTGTATAAGTGTTTGTTTCCATTGGAAGATGTTTACTTTGTGGAATAAAAAGATCTCTCTGCTTTAATTTTTTTTTTTTAATGGGGAAGTTCTGTGTGAAGATAGTTATTATTTAAATAGGCACTTTTAAAATCTTGAAATTTGGTCCCGATTGCAGACTGATATCATACACTAGTAACTGGTTTATCACCTGTTCTTTCCCTTCAGAATAGATGTACTTCAGTGGAGAGCTGAAATGTGTCCAGAATGTATTTTCCTGAGTTATTTTTTACTTTGTTTTGCACAAACCTGCAGAGTATGCTTAATACTCAGTATTCAACAGGATCGAATGCTGTATTTTTAGGGTTGGTGTGAGGAAAGTTATAGAAGCACAAGTTAGTTGAGAAAACATTTTTGTTACCCTTAATCTTACCTGTTTATAAGGTACTGTTGAAAAGGGTGCTGTAATTCCATCTCAGTCCCCATTTCCCTTTCCTATTGTCTCCTTTAGCCTAGTGGTTTTGTGGCTACTGGGAGGGTTAGGTAATTTCTTTTGACTCTTGGAAGTTACTATATACAATCCTGTCCCTTCCAAAATGTAATTGTAAAGAAATGAGCAGAATAAATACAAAGATTCCTAACTGCCCAATTCATTTAACTGCAATACTTGGGGCAAGAATGACTTAGGAAAGCTTTTCCTGAGCCTTTTGAATGCACACCCTGTGTTTGGCTTGTCTGTGGAGCTTGTGCTACTGGTGAGGGAATGTGTTGATTTATGTTCACTGTTCATTCACAGAGCACATGGGGTAATTAGTTCCTAGTTGCAAACATAAATATTTTGGAACTTTAGAAAAAATGAGCTTCTACCAGGTGTTAAAGGCAACATGCGTGTTATGGTTAGTATTAAAAATTATTACAGTTTGCTTTTAATCAGTAATGACAATCACTTACTGTTCTTTGGCCAGGCAAATGAAGTGCTTTAGACTAACACTATTTTGTTAATCTGAAATCCCTCGATCCCCTTCTCTGAATATTTTTGCTGTCTCCAAATGGGCAGTGGTCCTCAGATAGAGAAACAGGAATCAGAGGGTAGGCTGTACTTAGATGAGGCACTTGCCCTGTCCACATGGTTCCCTTAGTGGAAGAGAAACAAATGTTGCTCAATAGCAGTGATTCTTGTGTGCCTGTGCTGGGTGTCCTGAACAGACTGTATACCAGAGCTGTGCCAAAGTTACTGTTCCAACTTCTTCCTTAGTGAGTAACAGCAGGGGAAAGTAAGAAAGGGGCAGGCATGCAGAGTAATAGTGTGGAATAGTAGGCAGTCTGGGTTGCTGCTTTGATAGTTTCATCACTTCCTGTCAGCTCATCATAATTCCATCACAAGAGCTCCTTTCAGTATCAAAATCTTTTCTAGTTCCCCTTAAGCAGTTTGAATTTCAAGGAGCACTGCTTCTATCTTCTGCTTCCTTATCATGCAT